AAAAAATGTGAGAGAATGAAAAGATGAAAATAAAGTGTTTGTAGATGGGGAGGGGAGGAGGGGGTGAAGGGAGGGCAGAGGAGAGGGGAAAAAATGAGAATCAAGACTTGCCATGTAAAGGTACATGGTCCCAACAATGAATGTAACTGTACTGTATGCCTAAATGTAACAAAAAAATCCAAAAAAAAAAAAAAAAAAAAAAAAAAAAAAAAAAAAAAAAAAAGCATAGGTATATTTAAACAATTATAAAGAATTACATATATCTTAAGACAAATGTGTGCATGTACTATAATAAGGCTTAAGTGAAACAAGATTGCAGCAATAGATAACAATTTTTACACTTTTCTGGGACTAATATGATTACTATTTCTTCTTTAAAAATACAAAACATTAGTGTAGATAGAGCTCCTCTGGTCTAAGGGTAGCAAAGTGATATGTCAAGGCTCACCATATCTACTCAGCTACTCCAGGCAGTGTTTTCTCCACTGAGGAAACAAGAAGTAGGGCTGCTGCCCATGGCACCACAAAGCTCTGCAAGAGTGACAAGAAAACAAGGTAAATTATTTCTCATGAGCTTAAGGGAAATAGAAATCAAAACTATACACCACATACTATACACCAGCCAAGATATGGAACCAGCCTAGGTGCCCACTGAGAGATACAAGGATAAAGAAAATGTGATACAATTGAAAAAAATTCAATGTGTTTAAATTTTTTTAATTTTCCATTAATACTCCTTAAAATACTCCCCCTTGCTTCAACTGTGGTTATTCCATTGTATTAAGGCTTAAGTGAAATGAGGCATTTTCTGAAGGAGTTCTAGAAGTCCTTTTTCAGGAGTGTCTCTAGTTGTACTATCGTGGCTGCCCCAATGTTCTGAATCCACTCAAAATATTTGCCTTTCGCGGTCGTTTTGACTTTGGGGAAGAGATAGAAGTCACTTAGTGAATAAAGACAGAAGTCACTTGTGAATAAAGTGGTTGAGGACACACTGTAATGTTTTTACAAGCCACCTTTCTGTCAGACTGCACTTAGCAGCACCATGAACTGTATTTCTATCACATCTCATAAAGATACTCACAAAAGTGAACTTCCACAATTTCTTCAGAAAGTGGCAAGAACAAAAAGATAGGTATGTTCAAAGTGAGGGGAAGTATTTTAAAGGGGATTAATAGCAAAGTAAATATCTACCATATATCTTAATTGGCTCCTGTACATATATAATGAAGTATTATTCATTCCTAAAAAAGAAGGAAATTTTGTCATGTGCAGAAAAATGGATGGATCTAGAGGTCATCATGTTAAACAAAATAAACCAGATTCAGAAAGATAAGTATCATATGCTTTCTCTAATATGTACAACCTAAAATAGGTGACAAGAAAGTAGAGACTATTATTAGACTAGAGAAGGGACATAGAGGGAGGGATATAATGACAGTTAATGGGAGGTAAATATGATATTACTGTAAGTACATTGAAATGCCCCAAAAATGTGAAAATAGGGCCAGGGATTTAGCTCAGCGGTTCGGTGGCCTGCCTTGCAAGCGCGAGGACCCAAGTTTGATCCCTGGTACCAAAAAAAAAACAAAAAAAATGTGAAAATAGGGAAAGGGAGGTGATAGAGGGAAATTACTAAAGTATGTGCATGTACATGTTTTTCAAAATAAAAAAAAAACATTGATCTGTACAACCAGTAAGTGTGAACAAAAATGTGGAAGAAATATCAAAAAATTAAAAAGAACTTATATTCTACTTGTAAAGCAGAAAAAAAGATTATTATTTGATTGTGAGCATCACTTCTACTTGAGGCTTTCTGATTCATCATTTTACTATTAAATATATGCATGTATTTTTATTTGCTCATTATTTTTACCTTCAACTGAAAGCACTTAAAATGACTACATCATCAGCTCCCCTTTGAAAATAAGGAAAATACTTTATATTGGCCTCACAATATTCAGTATTTGAGAGACTGAGTAATGTTATCAAGAATCCAGTGTTGCAATGATGAAAGTAACTGTACTGTATACCTAAAATGTACCAATAAACTCAATAAGAGAAAAAAAAAAGAATCCGGTGTTGGATAATAGCAATGAGGAAGAGTTAATGATCGTCAGCCTATACTGAGCTTGGCATCTCACCAAATGAGTTCCATCTTCTTCCTGGATGCCCAGCTATGTTGGAGGTAGTTCTGTGGCTATGTAGATGAAGATGATAGCTATGGAGCTGGGCAACAAGAAAATGGACTTGGGATTAGATAGGATCCTAGATTGGGTGTGCGAGATGAGGAAAGGGAGGTACTGACAATGAGCACCAGAGGTCTAGATGAGCAACTGAATGGGCAGAAAATCCATATAATAACATAGGGAAATTATTATATAGCAAAGAGGATCATATTATTTAAGGAAAATTTTTGGTCAGTAGGACTTCTTGATATGGATGGAAACAGTGAAATGTGAATGGAAATTGTGTTCGCCACTCACAACCCTTGTCCATAGAATTATCCCATGTACCATCTTTCCTTCTATTTCTTACCACTGTCTAAACACAGAGATTCCAAGGCCCTCTTCTCAGATGGACTCACAAAATTAAAGGAGACTCCATTTAGGGAAGCTGCTTTTAGAAGGAGAATGAATGATCAAATAGGAAGTAGATTCTTTTCCTATTATCACTATAACAATTAACCACAAACTCAGTGTTTTTAAGCAATATAATTGATTCTCTTACAGTTCTAGGGGTCAGGAATCCTAAAAAGGGTCAACCAGAGCTATGTTCCTTCTGAGGGTTTAAAGAAAGAATCTGTTTCCTGCCTTTGCTAGCTTTTGGAGTCCACCTGCATTTCTTGGCTTGTGGACTCATCCTCCCAGAGGCACTGCATCTTTCAGTCTCTCTCCCTCTGCTTCTGTGTCTAGCTTGCCTCCCTTTTTCCTTTGTAGGAGCCCTTACAATCATATTAGGCCCACTAGATAATCTAAGGTAATCTTCCCCTCTTGATATCCCTAACAGCTCCAAAGGCTCTTTTGCTAAGTAAAGCAATAAATTCACAGGTTTTAGGAATTAGGACATGAACATCTTTAGAGGGGATGGTCATTATTCTGTCTACCACAGAAGATATTTCAGACTTTACATGAGTGAAAGAAAAGCTTCTATTGTGTTAATCTACTAACATCAGGGGTTCTGTCTCTTACAAGCTGATTTTACTTTAAGTAATAATACCTGTTAAAAAAAAAAACGGTAAAATCTGTTCCTAGCTAGATTATTGTTAGGACAACGACCCCACTTTACTCCATTTTGTTGCCAAAAATTGCCCTTTACATGATAATATGCAATGATACTCTAGCAGTATTTACTAATGTGATGAAGGCATATTAATTATAGAAATAGCCTCAAAGTAGCTGAAAATTTTATTTTAGCAGATAGCTTCAACCTTTTCCCATATTAAAACTTTAATCAGAAGTTTTAACACCTAAGAAAAATTGCCTCATTTACATTTTACTTTCTTTGCATGAATGATTTATGGTAAAAGTACTGCCAAGAAATGAAATAACACAAAAAGAAGCAAGGGCTCACCAAGATGCATGTGAGGCCAATAACTCATGAACAAGGTCTAAGTAATCATACACTTAAAGTTCATTTTTTTTCTCCATTTCTTGTAATGTGGGAATTTGGAATTACTATTCCAAGGTCAAGTCAACCTCAAGGTCTAAGCATTTTACTTTCTATAAACTTTCCATTGCAATTGTGATTGAATTATTTCCAAATACTGTTTTTGTGAGAAAAAAACTAAAAGATGAGTTGAGATCATGTTCCTTTTGGAAATTCGTCACCCAAAAATTCCTTATTAGTCTAATGAGTGTTCACTGGGGAGAAAAAACTTTTTTGATGTACTTTCATGTTTTCCAATTTAGAAAAAGAAAAGGACTTTAATGTGAATGCATTTTTAAGATTTTTCCATGCTTTAGGGAAGCTGCTTTTAGAAGGAAAATGTAATGAATGTTTTTAATCATACTAAAAGGGTTTGCCAAGAATCCGTGGTTTAATTCAGCTTTTCACTGACAACAAAATAGAAAAGACCAAACATATTTATTAGCTAGGGATCCTCATTTCTCAACATGGCTACCTATTTTTAAATTTTATTTGAAAGATAAAACTCATCCAGGGCCATATAAGCAAATAACCCTGCCTGGTTAATTTTTGAAAGCTCCTTTTTTCACATAGGTCTCTGTGGAGCAACCCTCTCTTTCAAGAACTCCTGACCCTATCTCTCCAAGTCAGTTCTCATCCTCAATACAAACTCCACCATGCCCCGCAGACGCATCCCCTTCCCCTTTTCTTCAGTTTATTCTCAATGTGCCCTTCAGGTTTTCAATAAATTCTTAATGTCAGCCATGCAAATGTCACTGCCAAGAAGATTTAAGTCCCATTTTTCTATGCAGGCCTTTAACTTCAAAGTAAACAACCTGCTTTCTATAAGCTTGTCCTCAGATTTAAACTGAACAAAAATCAAAGAATAACTTCTGTCTCGTTTTTTGTTTCCTTGGTTTGACTCAAAGTCTCAGAGATTCCATCTAAATATCTCCCTAAGGGTGTGCCCATCGCCTCACAGTCTCCATGTCACAGCAGTGCTTTGTAACATGCAGCAACAGCAATGATAGTCTACTAATGCCTTTCTCTTCTCAGTCTAGATGATAGCAGGTATCAAGGGCAGATTCAAAGACTATAATAAAAAAAATGATAAAGGCCTTAGCACACAATAAAAAACAAATCTGTAGATGCCAACTGGTTCTCAAGAAAGGAAGAATGGAAGCAGAAAATAAATCATCTTAGACAAGGGGTTTGTTTTTTCCTCCTAAACAAGATACCTGAGTAGCTTCTTCATTGATATCCACAAGCTTCGTACAATCATCAGACAGTGCAATATTTAACAATAGTGTGTTCTACCATTAAGAACACTTCAGAATTCAGGTGAGCAGTTAAATAATATCACAGTCCAAGTCTTCCACTTTAAAAAGCTCATAAATAAGACCATTTAAAAATATTCTTTAGATTGCCTATTTTGTCACTCCCATCTGGTCATTTCCTCCCTCTCAAGAACTACCTCAAAGGACACAGGGCAAAGAATTTATTCTAAAGACTTCAGGATTCTACACTAAAAGGTATGATTAAAGGCTAAAATTATTTCTTAATGTGAACTAATTAGAGGGAGTTATAGTCTAATTTAGTTCTGTGATGTAAAGCTGTTGTGAGTTGGTTTTATTGGAAACACAAATTCTATTATATTCTAAATTCAATTGCATGATTCCACAGCAAAGAATTGGGTAATCCATACACTTCTTCAATTTCCTTACTGAGATTCAAAGCTTTGCTTATCTCGAGTTATGAAATGTGAATTATCTCAGTGAATCAACCTCTAATTTCAAGGAGATTTGGGGAACAACACTTTAATTAGTCTTTATCATGCTTGCTTAAACATTGCCAGCCATCTTGCACCTGAAAGTAAATTAAAGCAAGAGGAGAAAGAATCTGAATGA